AGGCAAATAATTCGTTATCTGACAATGACTCAGGTTCCCTAGAGCACAACCAAGTGGTTTAGAGCTTATCTCATGTTCAAATCTTAAAATGGACTGAGAGGGTCACTTTTGTAACAAAGAAAAAAATGCAGAAGTAGATTGCTTGCACTGCTGTTTTCATTGAACTATTCAACTTGCAATAAACAGACGTAGCACATAACATACCCACATCACAGAGAAAGCAACACCTTACCTTTGATGCGAACCAGCAGCCCTTTTTACTCAAAATAACCTGAAAGAAAAAGGTTGAAACCCCATGAGTTTTTAGAATATTAACTGAATTATTTACAGAAAACAGAACTGATCATCTAGTTTTGTTATTTCTGGGGATGAAAGAAACAGGGGTAGAGAGAAAATAAATTACCCGTTTGATTGACGAGTCGAATCTCAAACCCTCCACTTCCGCCATTTCTGTGAATTGTGAGGAAAAAAGGGATGCTGAGAAGGAGAGAGAGGAACGTGGGAATTGTGCGACCCTTTAACCAACCATGTTAGGTGCCCCACCTAAAGCGTAAAACCCACTCCATATTTTAACTCCATTTATTTTATGCTTGTACCTCGCATTTCTATTGTTTAAAAATATAATAATAAATCCGTACACGCCCGCCTTTTGACCCTCTGATTATTTAAAGATAAGATTTTTATATTAACATTAAAATTCTGAATTAGGGTTTTCGTACATAAACTTTTATTTTTAGAAAAGATTTGCTAAAAAGAAGTAGTGGATAATTCATCATCTTCAAATGACTCAAACAGCAGTACTAGCAGCAAGAAAATGTTATCAAGCATATGATGGAATTGCTCTAACAAAATCAAAACCCATCTTATAGTTCTGCATCTTGCTCTTGTTGCCTCAAAGACATGGCTGCTCCTAGATTATCCACTCCACTCTTTAGATTTTCATAAAGATTAAAAGAGCAAGCAAACAAATCATCATCATCTACTAATGAGTCACTTTGAACAAAAACATGCAGAAGAGATTTGCTTAGATTATTGTTCCCATTAAAATAAATAGACCTAGCACATAACTTAAACGTACCCACTGCACAGAGAAAACAAGACCTTACCTTTGATGCCAATCAGCAGCACTTTTACCTCAGAAACCTGAAGAAAAGTTGAAAAGCCATGAGATTATATAATTAGTCACATAAAACAGAACTGATTTCCAGTTTTGTGATTTCTTGAGATGAAGAAACAAGGGAAGGGAGAAAAGAAATCACCCTGATTAACTATATAAATCACCAACCCTCCACCATTTTTGGGAAGAAACACAAAAAAAGAGTAATATGGGAATTGATGATTTTAGTCCTACCGTACATCTCTTGAGCATTTGACTATAAATTAGGGTTTATGTTTCTATCCAAGTCCAAATTCAAGAGCTTTTAATAAGCAAGTTGGGAATTCAATTAGAATAGAAAATGAAGAATGTGATAGAAACATATAATAAGGACATCAAACTTTAGTTGAACTGAGGCCAACAGAATATCTCAGCTTCAAAGAAGTTATTACAAATTAGATGATACAAAAACAAAAGGGAAAAACAAACCATCTAAACAGACCTTTAAATTCAAAATGGAAAAAAATAATAAAATAAAATTAAGAGGAGAGATTGGAATTGTTGATGAGGGATCCTGTGGCAGCTGAAAATAAATACCGGAATTTCACTTTGCAAGATGAGTCCTTGGGTGATGAAACTCCTTGAACCTAAAAGGCAATAATAAGAAGTGATTTGCTCTGTTATTCTTTTTAATCAAATAATGAAAGTTGTTAGACAAGATTGGCATAAATGTGTACCTACTTCTCCAGGCCATAAGGGGAGACTGATGGCTCTTAAAACTTCAATTTTATTCACAATCCGGAGACATGCTCCGTCACCAGCAAACCAAATGCTGCTACAATTAAATAAAGGCAGTCTTTCAAGTTGCTGAGGCAGACTCTCGTGTTGTTGAACAACAGATGTTTCCAAGGATGATCTAACTTCACAGCCAGACTCCCACAAAACAAATGATTGCTCCTAGCTCCATACCCGGTTCAAACAATTTCCAGAATTCTACTCGTCTTCTTTGTTGTCTTTGCCACCGCAGTCTGTTGGCTTGCTCTTTGATTTTTCTTCTTCCAGGAAAGTTGGTCTTAGAGGAGGCCCACAGAGTTCAGGATTACCAACAAATGCAGAAGCATCAAAGGTCTGCATTTGGGTTGATAATGGGATTCTTCCAGAAAAGTTGTTATATGACAGGTTCAAAGTGTTGAGAAAATTTAAATGGGACATGCTCCAAGGAAGCTGACCTGAAAGCTGGTTTTGTGACAAGTCAAGTGATTCTAACTGTCTAATCTGCCCAATATCTAAAGGAATCCTTCCTGTCAAATGATTTCTTGATAAGTTCAGCTGATGCAGTCCCGAGAGACTCGAAATCTTAACTGGAATTTCTCCTGTTAATTTGTTGCTTAAAAGATTGATGACCTCAGACTCCTGAGGTTACCATCCCCATAATCACACTCCATTCCTTTCCACATTACAGATGCTTTGTTAGCTTAGCTTCTTGCATTAAAGAAATACTCATCAATAATATATAAACCATGGTTACTGACTGATCTCTTACGTAGTCAGATTATGTATGCACCTTGGTATGCTTTCAGATAGAATGGTGTTGGAGAGGTCCATTAGCATTACACTTATCAACCAGCATAACTGCAAGGGCACGTGTCCATTGAAATCATTGGATCTCAGAAGAAGGAAAGCTAGTGATCTTAGATTTTCTCCAATCCAAGCTGGTATTATTCCAGAGAATCTATTATAACTCAAGTCCACAAAATAGCAAGGCACTGCAATTCTCTAAAGACCAAAGAAGGTATTTCTCCATATCAGAAACTGTTGTCGTGCAAATTAAAAGTTTCAAGCTGGTACAAAGATCCAATAGAGCTTAAAATTTTCCCAAATAATTGATTATTAGCCAAATTCACAATTACTAGACTTGTCCCTCGTGTCAGTGCAATTAGGAAGCTATCCAGATGGTAGATTGTGCCAAAGATCAAGGAAATTAGGGATCATACTAGTTATGGTACAAAGTGAAAAAATTGAACCAGAAAACCTATTTTTTGAGAGGTTTATGAATGTGACATTATGAGGGAATGCTGGTAATGTTAATGGACGCTCCATATTATTTCTACTCAAATCTATCCCAAGAGAACCAGAAATTATCATTGACAAATCTGGCAAAATTCCAGAAATAATCGTTCCCGTTAGAGACCCTATCTTCTCTCGACCATTTTCTCTTCTCCCCGATTTGGGGCTTTCTCTGCACTAGGGAATGGCGGAGATTGCTATGGCGGTGCTGAATCGGAAAATGGAGAGTTGCACCGGATTCCAAACCTTGGCTTTGTATTTGCCATACAGAGAGTAGTGTTCTGGACCGACATTGAGGTCCTTGGCAATCTCAGAGATGTGAAACGGCTCAAACGGCGCAAAAGGAGTTGGCGACGTAAATAGGGAAAAAACGAAGAATGGAGATGCTAAGCGATCTACCCTCGCATACCTCTCGCATACCTCTCGCATGCTAAGCGAGCGATCTACCAGCTGAACTACATCCCATATGTTAATTTTCGTTCTTATTTTCACTTTTATCTTATGAGACAATTGCCGTTTCACTAAATTTTGGATGATTGAAGAAACACGCAGAAGTTATGGCTATATTGGGAAGTAAACTAGCTGAGTGAAGCACACAATTGGGAAGAATTTAGTGGTGGTATAATAACATCTTTTCCCTCAAGTAACTACAAACAATAAATTGATAGTCCTATCAATGTGTTCTTTTTTGGAGAGTTCTATGACAATCACATTGCAGCAAACTTCAAACCTACCAGTCAAGACACTAATCTTGAAACTATGGCCAACACAGACCTTTTTGCTTTTTCATGACGTTTACCTTTTGCTTTTGAGTGAACAACTCTTATGACAATGTTAGAATGAATGGTTGAGAGCAAAAGATAAAAATTTGGAGTTTTGCATTGGTTGAATGAAGACTAGAGTTCTTAAGCGGTCAGTTTCAGGAACCTGCCTTCGATTTCTTGATGTTGAATAAAGTACATTGAAATGAAAATTTTCAGTTGGTTTTGATCATTTTGTCTTATTTCACTTTGAGAGTTAAAGCTTTTCCAAGAAGTATAGTAGTAGCCATGTCTAATGTGCTGTGTTACAAGTATGGTGAGGACATGAATTGCTGCAATTCCCTCCCAGTTCTTCACAATCCTAAGAAGTCCTTGTTACTCATTACCTCCAAAACTAATTTTCAAGGTAAGGCAGAGGTGTTTCTTAATGAAAAATCATCAGGTAGAAGTTCTTTTCCTGGTTCAGACAGAGAACTGCCAGTTCCATGCATGCTAAGGAAGAAGATTCCTGTTAAAGAAACTACTTCTGTCAAATATACCAAGGTAGTTTTCAAGAAACTGTATTCTTCGTAGTGCTTTTTGTTCAATCCAAATTATAGTTGAAGTTATGTTTGAATTCTGACCAGATTTTGATGTTAAACATGTAGCATTTAAATGGGAAGAAGATGATCAATGAATATGTCAAGGAGCGCGAGATCAATGGGGGAAGCTATGGGAAAGTGGTAATTTTTTGCCTTGCTTAGGACTTAGGAGGTTTAGATGGCAGCAGAAATAAAATAATTTGCTGACTCTGTGCAGGTGCTTGATCGGAACATTAGTGATGGAAATCCATATGCTTTAAAGGTAGCTGGAAATTTTCTTTTCTCCATAAGTTGTGTACTCAAGTTCTGGTTGTTTTTAACTTTGTTCTATATTTCAGTCTTTCATTAGTGTTAAAAAGTAGTAGAATCTCTTTCCTTCTAATATCTGGTATGCGATGCATTAATAGCCACTAACTGGAATTGGATGAACACGTATGATATGGACATAACTTTGTGTTGTTTTAGAAAATTTGCAAGTCTCGATTGTGCAAGGTGTGTGTGACACGGTCAGAAACAGCCATGACCAATGTTCTTAGAGAGGTAATATTTTCCATCTTAGAATTTGCTTGAAACTAAAGAACATTTGATCATCAAGTAACATAATCTAATCAACATCCTTTTAGAATTATCTTCTGATTCCCTAATTAATTCAAAGCGTTGAAAAATTGGGACTGAGGTCTCATGCTTGCAGATTGCAGTGATGAAGGCATTGGATCATCCAAACATAGTTAACCTTGTTGAAGTGATAGATGACCAAAGATCAGATTATCTCTATATGGGTACGATTATCCAATGTGGTTCTGTCCTTTAAATGAAAAACTTCATGGAGCTTAGCATAAATTCCTGAAATGAATCTGTGATCATGCAGTTCTCAAGTACGTGTGGAAGGCAATGCTATAAACAACATTTCTCAAACAAGGGGACGCACAGATGAGATAACCGCAAGAAGATATTTCAATGATATAGTTGCAGGGCTAACTTATCTGCATAGCCATGTGAGTTATTTTAGAATGAGAGCAAAAGCAATATGTTTATGACCCTCAACCCTCTTCTCTCAAAAGTATAGGCAAATTATTCAAGGAGCATTCTGTTAGTGTGACTTAGACTAAATTCTCTTTCACTTAATTCTCTTGACAGAATATTGTGCATGGACATATAAAGCCGGAAAATCTTCTCCCCAAAAGAAGTGGAAGCGTGAAAATTGGAGATTTCAGTGCGTGTCATGCCTTTGAGGTAATGCTACATAAGAAGACATATACACGTATAGAAATTAAGAAAAGGAAAATGAAGAATTGACATGAACAAGATCAGTACCATGTTTTAGTGTGAGTGATTTTGTCCAGAAACTATATCTTTGTACCTCTAGTGAGAATATGCTCCCTCATAAATTTCTGACTTGTGTGCATGGGACAAAGGATTTTGTGCTCATGTTGACATTTAACTTCGAATTTTGTAAGATGACAATGATGAGCTCTGGAGGTACCATGGAACCCCTGCCTTAATCGCACCTGAATGCTGCCTAAGTAAGTGTATCAATCCAACTATCAAAGAATTTCTGTGCTTTCAAATTCCATATACATGCTTGTGACATTGTTGAAAGCTGTATCAAATACCTGGCTACTAATGCTGCGTAGTTGATAACAGATAAAAGTTTACAATGGAAAAGCAGCTGATATATGGGCTGCCGGTGTTACTCTGCACTGCATGGTGGTAGGCTACTATCCTTTTCTATCAGATAGCTTACCAGAGACTTACAACAAGGTAACAACTTTGTATTACCATAAAATCTTTCTGCTACAATACAATTTCCCCGCACTTATCAAATTTTACCCTTTTTTTTAAACAGATTGTGAACAGCCCTCTAATACTCCCAGAAGAACTAGATCCTGAACACAAAGATTTGCTCCAAGGCCTTCTGTGCAAAGGTGCTAGTCTTTCCTTGAAAAATACCCAAAATTTGAAGTTAGAAAGATTAACATGT